ATATTCTCAGAATTACCTTACGAGGCACTTACTGTTGTTTTCCCATCGCCCCGATGAGGTAGATGAGGTAGACAGGTTGGAGTGCTTGCTGGCGCAGCCGTGACCGTGGAGCGGAGCTCAGGTGGCAGGTCACGGACACCGCCCTGGTCACGGACACCGCCCTGCTTCCCCTGACTTGTGTGGCCGGGAGCAGGTGGAGCTGCCGACTGTCGCCCCCGACGCAGGTGCAGCCTTAGGTGTGGCCGGGTCAGCGAGGCGGGACAGCGGGAGCCTGGGCTTTCCCTGGGGGCTGCCAGGCTCAGTATTTCCCAGTCCCCTTCTCAGAGGTCCCTCGGCCACCCACATTTGCATGTGGCCTCTCTCCTCCTCCGTGAGCCCTGGTCCCATGTGCAGGCATCTCAGCCTGCTCTCCCGGGGTCATTGTCAGGCCTTCCCTCTGGATTTCTCCTGGCCAAAGAATTCACTGGTCAGGAGGCCCTGGACGCCTGGCCGTTACCGGCACGCAGGGCGAGTGACTCTGCGTGGAACCCAAACGCGTCCCCACGCCCGCGGCCGCCCCAGCCGTGTAGGGGACAGGGCCGAGCTGCCCGGTGAGCCGAACCTGAGGGGGCTCCCTCAGAGGGCGTCAGAACAGCGGGGGGCTCAGGAAAGGGCTGTCAGGGTTTGTTTGTTTTTTTTTTTTTTTGCCAGCCGAACCTGGAAAGCTTTGCAAACTGTGCCTGCTACACACTACCTGACACTGTGAAACGTCACGTTCCTGTTCGAACAGTGTCTCGAAGCAGATCATCATGATCACATTCAGGAGATGCAGTGGGCCGAGGGTTAGTCGCAGATCAAAAGGTTCGGTGACAGGGTAATTAGAGTCCTGACTGCTGCTTACAGCCCCACAGCCCGGAGCCAGCTGCTTAAGATTTTTCTCACCTCGATTTCTTTATGTGAGAAATGGGGTCCCCCGTCCCCGCCCCGCCCGACTTACAGGGTCATTGTGACGATCACATGCGATCGGACAGGAGCTCGGAACAGGTGGTGTTTCTCAAGTGGCGTTGACAAAGTGAGGTGTGTGTGTGTGTGAGTGGAGCCCAGCAGAGCTTCCACAGAGTTAATTAATTGTTCACAGAATTAATCGTTTAGCAGCTTTTGCTCTTTGGGAGTCTTTGGAACTTGTATCACGGTAACGTTAGTATTTTGTGAGTATTTTCATAGAGCTCATTACCTTTTCTCCGTAATTTCAAAAAGACAAAGTAATTTTTTCAGCAAAAGTTATTCAGTATAAACTAAAAGTGTACTGTTCTGTTCTCGAAAATGCAGTAAACAACCGCAAAAAAAAAAAAGTGTTTGTGATGATGCCTACGTGAGAAAAATAAATAAAGTGATGTTTAAAAATACGAGCCTGCCCTGTCCCTCATCAGCTCATTCAGAAAGAGGTCAGATGCCGGGTGCCACCGCCACCGGGGCCGGGCGACGCGCTCGGAGAGCCTGGGGCGGACACAGCTGGGCCACCCGCGTTGCAGTCGGGGACAAAGGAGCCCCGGACACACGGAGCGAGTGACTGAGTGATTCCGAGCACCGCTGGGCCGCTGGCGGGGGGCCGGGGTCCCCGGCCGGGGTGGGCGGGGC